GATGAGAGGAGGGAGCAGTAAGGAGAGAGGAAGAGGGTTGTGGGGGTAATGTGGGGTGGGTGGTCACAGAGGCATAGGGATGTAATGGGAGTGTAGCAGTGTATGGAGGTGAATGGGTTGTGGGGCTGTGAGGCACATGGGGGTGGCAACTCTGGGTGGTGGAGCAGATGGGTGTTAGAAAACTAAGGGCTACAGGGCTGGGATGGGTAGATGTGGTGGGGGGACAAGACAGGAAGAGATGGGGAGGCATGCAGTAAGGGGGAAGAGGAGTGGGACGTGGAGGATGCAATGATGAGGGATGGATTTGCAGGAGTGCTGGGACAGGGAGCGATGTAATGGAGGATTGGTGATATGGGGGGTTGGAACAGGGAGAGATGCAGCAAAAAAGATGAGGGTGCAGCCCCATTCCCAGCATGTGGAGATGGGGATATACATACCTTGAACTCCTGGGTGCCAGCAATCGGTGGCAGACTGACCACAGTTCATTGGAGGGCATCTGCCGTAGCTCAAGTCCAGCCACACGAGTGTAAGGAGAAGGCATCTGGGCAGCATTGAAAGATACGTGCCACGCGAGCCCTCAACAGCTGCCTGTTGAGCACTCGCAAGTTGGGCTAGTTCCCCCCCAAGCTTGAGCCAGCTAATGGGACCTGTGCTGGAGGGAAGAGGGGCTTCTGCCATGGAGCCTCCTGGCCGCCCCCAAGGCTAGGAGCTGGACATGAAACCTGAGAGTCACAAGGCATAGTGACTAGCAGGGAGCCTGCCAGCCTTGCTACATGGCGCTGCAGTGCTGCCAACTGGAGAGTCAGTGGCCTGGTAAGCAGTGCTAGCCAAAGCTACCAGTATACCTTTTTGAAAGGGTGTTCTGGTCCAAAATCAAACTCCTGGTCACCCGTACCTGGCAAGAGGACAAACAGCAGCACTAGTTCAGATAGAGCAGACCCTGGGAAAGGGAGAACAAACAGGGCTAGAATCAATCAGGACTTACAGACGGGCCAGGCAGATACTAGCAGAAAAGGCAAAAGCATCCTGTCTGTTTTCTACCTCCATTTCTGATTGCAGAAGAGTTTTCCAGCTTGTTTCTCAGGGCAGACATTCTTTTGTTTTTCTTCCTCCCACTTTGTGTAACTTTGACACACATGCATATGTGTGTGTGTGTGTGTGTGTGTGAGAGAGAGAGAGAGAGAGAGAGAGAGGAAAAACCTGTTGAGACTGAACAGGACTAATTTTAACAGATATAAAAATGTGTTTGAATATGTATGAATGAACGAAAGTGAAGCATTATACTATTATTGAAACTATTTTGCATCTTTTCTGTTCTGGTCATTACTAACAAAAGCTAGAACAACACTTTCTTAGATTGTAAATAAAAATATTTCAAATACCGTATTACTGTGTGCGGTGACAGTCTCTCTTTGTTTTTCCTTTTTTATTTCTCAATTTGGCATGTTAAAATACATTAGCTTTATTTTTATTTTCTAGTCAGGATCACTTTCTGATTCATTTTATGCACTAAGACCATGCTGTAGGATTTGGGTGACATATTTTTGTAAAGGAACTTTGATAGATTAAAAGTATTAGCTATCTTACTTTTTTGTAAAATCTCTGGGCTCTTTTTTTCAATTATTGACCTAGTGAAGAATGGAGTTCCCATAACAAGAGCTCTGCCTTTTCTCAGTGCCTCCATCTTCCATGTGAGGAAAGAGCAGGGTCCATGTCCTATGTGGTAAAAGTTGTTCAACAGGAAAAGAAGAAGGAATAAAACAAGACAAAGAAGAACAACAAAGCAGTGTCCCAAGCTGAGGGTTCAGTTTCATTTACAGAATTGCAGGAACACGAAAATATGGTCAGGGAACACATACCTTCAGATGAGGATACTATGAGTTAGGGGAGGGGAGAACAGACCGCAGATCAGCATACATCTAACAAAACTGACAGTGCTTTAGCTTGCTATGGTAGGAAAATGGATGAAATAACCAAATAAGCTAATTAGAGAAGCATATAGCTATGATACCAAGATACCATGGTAATGGGCTGCATAAAAATGGCTATAAGGATCTTGGAATAAAGGGTTAAAAAAACCCTGTACTGATGTGATGGATTATAAAAAAGAAATGAAGCAATCCTTGGAGTATCTTTCAATCCATTGAAGTATCTTTCAATGCTCTCCTCTTTCGAGACCCAGAATCTTCTTTATAAAAAAAAAAACCTGTTCGACAAACGAAACAAATAAAATTCCTTTTCTCTTTGTGTGATAGAATATAGTTCAAGGCAAGATCTAATAAAGAATAAAGCAGAATTTGGTTTGTAATGATATTTAGTTGTATTGTCTCCAACCCTCAAGGTGCTGAATATTCTCTGGACCATTAAAATTTAGGGCTCACAACATCTTATAGGGTCCCAAAAGAGAAACAAGAGAATACCGATGGAAGTGTTATGTTTTAACAGATTGCTCAATTTCCCTTTCTGTTATTAAACATGCAATCCACTGCCCCCACAACTCAAACTTCACCCTAGCAGAGTTTTTATTCCAAAATAGTGTCAGAGATGCCATTAAATGCACCAACAGCTTTGCTAATGCTATTAATTTTATGTGTAACTTGCTGGGATACTACAGCAGTGGATGGCAGTATAAAATACTAATGTAGATGGATAATCCTTCATGTCAGTACTTTGCTGTTTTGGAGAGTAGCACCTTTGTTATTAACTTTGAAAAGTAATATTTGAATGTTGCTCATATGAGATGATACATTTAAAAGTCTGTCTGCATGGCTGAGGCAGTTTGTGATATGTTTGGATCCTTAAGTTATAGAGATTATGGATTTGTGATCTGTTTTAAAAGTCGTCATCTGGTTCATTTTGAATCTAATATGCTGAATCCTGTACCTTAGAAAGCTTGTTTTGTTCTGTATATACTGTATATTTTACAAGGTTGATATGCTAAGGCTAGTGGTTTTGTATATGTTTGTAGCCAATTTATGACCAGATTTATTCCATAGTCTGGTTTACTGGAATATATTAATAGATATAAATTATAATGGGTGACTATAATTTTTCCTGATAGTATTGCACAGCCTTATTTCTATTATTTTTGTACTTTCCTGGGAAAAAAAACGTGCTACTTAGATGGCTTTCTTTTGGATTTCTTTTCATCTGTTTGGTTAAACATGACAGCAAACTCCTATACTGATATCTCTGGTGAGTGCAGGTTTTACGTTGTATTCATCCCTTCATTTCTGCCTGCTTCTTCCTTCAGCCACATTGTCACATGTCTCCTTTACTTAATATGCTGACTTATAAAATAACTGTTTGTTATTAGGACTGAGTCTTGGAGCATCCAGGCAAGGGCAAAATGTGAGTTTCACTGAGTACACAAATATCTGCAAGCTATGCCTCTGGCTGGTTAGCCACTGTGCATAAAATAGTGTTTCTTCATTCTGCTATTATATTGAAATGATTTTTTTTTTTATTTTTACAGGCTGGGGAAAAGACAGGAAACCAGTCCTAGAAATAGAATTGTAAACTGTGGAATTCTTAACAGGAAATTATTTTACAAGTTGTCCTGGTATGTCTGTTTGAGGCATTTCTCCATGTATTTGTTTATTTAAAGCTGTCTACAGTCATAACAGTGATATTGCTCTGATTCAGAATTGTAGCCACCCTTTCTTTACAGTTCCATGATGAAAGAAACAGGGCAGTGTAATTCAAGAATGGATAGAGTAGCAGACTTGGGTAGTATACCTGATTCTGCTGGTGACTTCTGTGAGTTTGAGCTAATCTCTTAATTTTTCTGAGCTTGTTATCCTAATTCTAAATAGGCGTGATAATGCTTATCCAACATTAGGTGCTTTAAGATCTAATCAGCGGGTCTATTAAATTGTTATTTTATGAGAGTACAGAAATAGTTGTGCTCCAGATCAGTTCCTAATTTGTTTGGTCACTAATTCTTACATGACACTTTTTCTAGAAGTAATATCCAGAACTTCTGAAATTAAATATTCTTCTGATTTTTTAAAAAATGCTCTTGAACTTTGATCCCAGCTATAGATTCCATTACAAGGTTGTAACTCCTATTGAATATATTGGCTGATTGTATCCATGTATTCAGTGAACTGTGGCATTTCATCAACTCCTTATTATATTTTATATAATAATTTCCTCCATCCTGCCCTTCCCCTTTCCCTTCCCTCCTTCTAAATAAGCCCTTGAGATATTATTGTAGTTAAAAGTCTATATTGGAATGACTTAGACCCACATCATTTATAGACATTCAGCATTCAACATCGGACTTCTAGTGTCTAGGCAGTTGCATAGTATTGACAGTACTTGTTAGTTATGAATGCAGTGTCTCTAGTTTTAGGGCCTGCTCTTTGAAGGATAGCAGCAATCTCTACTTACACTAAAGTCAGCAGCAGTGGATGGCTCTCCACTCCTTGCTGAAGATGTTGGCACACTGGTGGACAAATACTGTGTTACAGTCAAGTCTAAGGGTCCCTAAGGGTACTCCAGAAGATCCTTGAGTATTGTTCCGTCCTAATTTTTCTCACTCCCGAATGGAACGAGATTCGTTATGTGTACCAATGTGGAGGTGATGTGTGACATCACTTTCATATTGGTGCACTTAACAGAATTCATATGGTGGAAATGGGACTAAGGGGTTCTGCGAATGGGAGGAGGCTCAGGCCTGTGAGTTGGAGTGCAAGGGGTGTGAGGTCCCTGGGGTGGGGCCGAGGATGAAGGGCTTAGTGGTGGAAGAGGGAGTTGGACTGAAAGGGCTGTGGGGATAGGGATTTGAGGTGAAAGAGGAGACTCTAGTCTGGGAGGTAGGGTCAAGGGATTCAGAATGCTGGAGTGGGTTGTGGATTGAGGCAGGGGGTTGGGTGCAGGAGGGGGTGAAGGCTCTGGGGTTGGTTTGGGATGCAAAAGTGCGCTTCAGGTGTGGGGAGGGGCTCAAGGGATGAAGGGCTGGGGGTGTAGGAAGTGGCTTTGGGTTGGGGGCATTCAGGGTGGTGTAACCTATAGGGCTAACCTGCTTGCTTGCCTATAGATATATAAATTTATTATTTCCTTATGGTTTTGATTATTTTGGCAGCTTGGCTGTGACATGGGAGACTTACAGGCTATATCCTGTATGTTGAGCTAAGGCAAAGTTAGTATTTTTGCCTGGGACCTTTCACCCAGATGGTACAGTTATCTCACATATGTTTGGGACCTTTTACCTAGATAGATGGTGATAAATTAGAGTGACTTTTCATAGTAAGGGGATTCCAAAAATACCCCCAAATGTAGCAGGTACCTTATTACTTAGAAAAACCCAAAGCAGCCGGTTGAGACCAGACTGAATAACTGGGTAAAACAAAAATAATAAATGTGACAGACAACCACAAAAGGCCCATGGTAATGAATTGATGCATATGATAATGAGTTGAGATCAACGATATACTGACCTATTGCAAAAAGACACTTCACCATTAGTTAGGTGAGGAAATACAAATACGGAGAAAATGAAATATCCCCTACTGAATATGCATCAGACATAACAACGTCAACTTAACATAATAAAAGTGGAATCCCAGCCTAGGGGAGATAGAAGGAGATGTAGTCCTTGGGAGATGCCAGAATAATGGCCACTGGTAATGATGGGGGAAGGTGAAGGTGACGAGGAAGGTGATGGCTAACACCTCAGGTTTGTTCTAGAAGAAATGCTGTGAGAACATGGTATGGAAATACAGATTTACATTCCCTAGTTATCTTATGAAGTTGGGGTGTTTGTGACTTTGTTCAATTAATTAATAAACTATATTTGCAAATATATATGAGTTCCTACAGTGTGAGTATTGCATCTGTGCACATCAGGGTTCCCAACCACAGAATAATCGAATACTGGGCCTGATCCTGGGACAAAAAAGTCTGTCAACCCTAAAGGTGGTAACTGGAAATTTTTAAGCAATCTTAGATCAGGCAGCAGTGGGGCAGGAGGTTGGGGCTTGGGCTTCCTTGGGCAGCTTCTGGGCAGGAGCACTAAGGCAGGCTGCCTGGTTCCTACCTGTCCTGGGGCACCACACTGCACCCCGAATGCGGCCAGCAGGCCCAGCTCCTGCGGGAGGAGGGGCACGAGGCTCCATGGTGCACAGAAACTTGTGGTACCTCTACATAGGAGATGGACCTGTTACGCTGGCCACTTCTCCACTGACCCCAACATAGAGTTGCCCCATCGCAGGAGAGAGAGCCATAGCTGGCAGAGAAGGACCTCTCCCTGCTGCAGCCCTAAATTCCTGTGCAGGGCTTAACACATGGCCGCACAGCTTTGGGAAAACTTAGCCCCTGGGATCTCCGAAAGTATTTTTTTTTTGGGGGGGGGGGTGTCTAGAAACCCCACTGAGAAACTCCTCTCCTTCCCTCAACTTATTCCCCTCCTTCCCAGTGCCTCCTTCACCCTGGGGAATCTCTGGTGTGAATGAGAAGGAATGGGGACCTTGTCTCCATGCTGCTCCAATGTCTCTGCAGCCCCTGCAGGAGGGCAAGGGAATCTCTGTGCAGTTCCACCCCAAATGCTGACTCTGTAGCTCCCATTGGCCAGGAACTGCGGCCAATGGGAGCTGCAGGGGCAGTGCTTGCAAACAGAGGCAGCACATGAAGAGCTTTGACTCCTCCCTCCTACCTAGGAGTCACTACCAGTGGAATGTGCCAGTCGGGAACCACCTGAGGTAAGCGTCACTCCCTCACCTCCTCCAGCACCCCAACCCAGTAGCACTGCAACAGTTTTTGGAGTGGAAGACTGAGCTGCACCCCGTATCTCTCTCTGTGCCCCTGACTGCCCCCTAGAGCTGGGTATGTCAGCAGGGACCCCACATGCACGGGAGCCCCCTCCTCTCTGCGTGTAAATATGTAACTGCTGAAATTGTCAGCGGTTACACATTTACATAAATAAACACATTTTAACATCTCTAGTTGAGATAGCATCTTTTGGAGGTGCTCAGTCTTCTGCTTTCTGTTTCTCATCAGAGGCCACATCAAAAAATATTATAAATAGGGCTCTGCATTTCACAGCTATGAAAAACTCATCAGACTATGCAATTTGGTCTCCCCCATGAAATCTGACTGTTGTAGGGGGATTGTGGAATTATCACCCTTACTTCTGTGCTATCTTCAGAAGTGGGAGGCCAAAGTGGTGTCTGCTGTGTGGGCACCCAGCTGTGAAGATAGTGGCACTGCCAGTTGCATTGCAGAATTGAGGGTGGCATGATATGGCTGAGGAAATAATCACTTTTGGGTGAGAGCAGGGCTGGATTTACAGGTTGCTAACATGGATAACGATCTGGGAACTATAGTCAGGGGTCACTGTGATCACACCCTCCCAACACACAAAGACAGCCCAAATCAACTTTAACCTCTGAGCACTGGGCCTGGAGCCAGGGAGAGACAAAGCAGAGAGCATCCCAACCAAGGGTTGCTACTATGCACCAGGCTCCAGCTGCTAGTCCTGGAAGGGCTGTTGAGGGAAGGGATTTCCTATATCCCTGCATGAGTCCTTCCTGGGGTCATCTCAGACCTCTGTCTGATAACCAGACAGCTGTGGGAAGCTGTAAGGCTGATGGCTGAGAGCCTAGCTTTGAAGGCAGCACTACTGCCAGAAACAGTGCAGAATGGTGATTACAACACTGAATTTTCTGATTTACATTTCTGAAACCATGAAATTTCAGATTTTTAAAAACTCATGGCCATGAAATTTAGCAAAATGGGCAGTAAATTTGGTAGTTCACACTAATTACAAATAAAACAATGTTTAGGGCTCATTGTAGAAAAGAGTGCATCAAAATAAGTGAAAGCTACACAGATAAAATGCAGCATGGTCTGCATCCTCTGCTGGTCTTACATAGGTACAATAGTCCTGAATCTTGTAATTACAACAATTTAAATAATTATTTACTTAGATATTTGACATTCCATCACAGTCTTTGCTCTCTTTTCTCTCATTAATATTGCAGTCTCTCAGAAGCCCATGAGTCCTTGCCCTTCATCCTCGTTTACTTCTGACAGTCTTTAAAGGTGGGATGCTCCTTCCTAACCTAGATTAGAGTTTGTGGTTGCATTTTAACTTGAGATTTGATTGCCTAATAGTTAGGTAATTAACATGACTGTTCATACTCATCTAGGTTGTTCACACACTTTTATAGGGGGACACAAAGGTCTGTGTCCCTAACCCTAACCCTAACCCTAACCCTAGGTTGAGCCACAGAAGTTTATAAAATGTTTGGAGTAGCATTTACATTTGTTAACTAATATAATAACTGGCAATCAATTAGTTATATCAGTTAATTAAGTTAGTTGAAAGCAATGGGATTTTGGTCTCCAGGTATTCTTTAAAATCACGCTAGGTGCCACTCTCTTTAGGCACCCAAAAAACGTTTAAAAATTGCTCTGAAATAAGGATGTTAAGTAATGTGTAATTGAATAGTCAGTGCATTTTTGCATCGACTATTCGATAGGGTGGCACTGCCCCTTTGAAACACCACTTGGACTCCTTGGACTCCCCAGCTGACCCCTTTCTAGTGAACTTGAGGC